TGGCCACGTTAATGCAGTTGCCAATGCCAAAGCAGAATCCGGAGTACGCATTGGTGGAGACCAACCCCCCATTGGCGGCCAGATTGCGCTACGGCTACAGAGGAAAAGACAAGATCACCAGCACCTACGACATGGTGGAGCAGATGTATTTTCTCTATGTAAACGTGGTTAAAGCCAGAGATCTCCCTGTCATGGATGTGTCGGGGAGTCTAGACCCTTATGTGGAAGTGAAGGTGGGGAACTACAAAGGGGTCACAAAGCACTTGGAGAAGAACCAGAACCCAGTCTGGAAACAGATTTTTGCCTTCCCAAAAGAGAGATTGCAATCCAGCCAACTGGAAGTGACTGTGAAGGACAAGGATTTCGGGAAGGATGATTTTGTGGGGAGGGCTTTCTTTGACATCCCTGAGGTTCCATTGAGAGTCCCTCCAGACAGTCCATTGGCTCCTCAATGGTACAAATTGGTGGACAAGAAAGGGGACAAAACCAAAGGGGAAGTGATGCTTGCTGTTTGGATGGGGACTCAGGCTGATGAGTGTTTCCCTGAGGCTTGGCATTCTGATGCTCACAGCATCAGCCATGGCAACCTTGCAAACACAAGATCAAAGGTCTATTTCTCTCCTAAACTCTATTATCTAAGAGCCCAAGTGATCGAAGCTCAAGACCTGGTCCCTTCAGACAAATCCAAACCTCCAGACACATTCGTCAGAGTTCTGTTTGCCAATCAGGGGAAAGTAACCAAACCTTCACAGATGCGTGTGATCAACCCGGTTTGGAACGAGGAGCTGATGTTCGTAGCACCCGAGCCTTTTGAAGATTTCATCGTCATCTCTGTTGAGGACAGAGGAACAGGGGAGATTCTAGGGAGAGTGATCATCCCATCGAGAGAAGTCCCGCAGCGAATCGAGTCCACAAAACTCCCAGACGCCCGCTGGTTCAATCTCCACCGCCCCTTCATCGCTCAGCTAGAAGAAACGGAGAAGAAGAAGGAGAAATTCTCCAGCAAGATCCATGTCCGTCTCTGGATCGACTCAGGGTACCATGTTCTTGATGAATCCGCCCACTTCAGCAGCGATCTCCAACCATCCTCCAAAGTTCTCAGAAAAGACAGCATCGGAGTTCTCGAACTTGGGATTCTGAGTGCTCGGAATTTGGTTCCGATGAAGATCAAAGAGGGAAGAACCACAGACGCTTACTGCGTGGCCAAATACGGCAATAAATGGGTTCGAACAAGAACACTTTTAGATACACTGGCTCCTCGATGGAACGAACAGTATACTTGGCAAGTCTACGATCCTTGCACTGTAATTACAATTGGGGTTTTCGACAATGCTCATACAAATGGAAGCAAAGAAGACGCAAAAGACCAAAGAATCGGAAAAGTGAGGATTCGATTATCGACATTAGAGACAGACAAAGTATATACCCATTACTATCCCTTATTGGTTCTTCAGCCCTCTGGTCTGAAAAAGTACGGGGAGCTCCAATTGGCTCTGCGATTCACCTGCACGGCCTGGGCCAATATGCTGACACAGTACGGGAAGCCGCTGCTGCCCAAAATGCACTATCTCCAGCCGATTCCTGTACGGCACATCGATTTGCTCCGATTCCACGCGATGAACATTGTGGCGGCGAGGCTTGCCAGGGCGGAGCCCCCGCTCCGGCGCGAGGCGGTGGAGTACATGCTCGATGTGGACATCCATATGTTCAGTCTCAGAAGAAGCAAGGCGAATTTCAACCGAATAATGTCACTTCTCTCGGGAATCACCGCGATTTTCCGATGGTTCAACGATGTGTGCGTTTGGAAAAACCCTATAACGACCTGCCTCGTCCACGTCCTGTTCTTGATTCTCGTCTGCTACCCGGAATTGATCCTCCCGACGATCTTCCTCTACCTATTCGTGATCGGAATCTGGAATTACCGGTTCCGGCCGAGGGACCCGCCGCACATGGACACGAGATTGTCGCAGGCGGAGCACGCGCACCCGGACGAGCTGGACGAGGAGTTCGACAACTTTCCGACGACGAAGCACATCGACACGGTGAGGATGAGGTACGACCGGCTGAGGAGCGTGGCCGGAAAAGTGCAGACGGTGGTCGGAGATCTGGCGACGCAGGGGGAGAGGGCTCAGGCGATTCTGGGGTGGAGGGATCCGAGGGCGACGGCGCTGTTCATAATCTTCTCGTTGATTTGGGCGGTGTTCATCTACGTGACGCCGTTCCAGGTGGTGGCGATTCTGATCGGACTGTATATGCTCCGGCACCCGCGGCTGAGGAGGAAGCTGCCGTCGGTTCCCGTGAATTTCTTCAAGCGGCTGCCATCAAAAGCAGATATGATGTTGCTATGACTTATGAGAGAGAGAAGCTCAGTTAACAGAATTCTGAGTTTTGTTTATTTTCTATTTGTTTAATTTTTATGAACCAAATATGTTCCAATAAGTTTGAAAGACCACCAAAATCATATACATACCGAAACATATAATATTATGTCCATACCTACACATGCTCTAATTTTGACCATCAATTATTCCACCTTTACCATATAAACCTGAACCTAGTGTAACTAGTTAAAACACTTATGTTCGACTATATGTGAGTTTGAATTCTCATCTTCACATGTGTATTAACAAGAAAAAAATACATAATTTCTAATATATTTGACGTTTGGTTATCTTAGTTGAAGAGATCTTCCAAGTGAGTTGAAGTTAGGATCCTTCAAAATATTGTTGTCATGATTAAAAGAAATATGTATAGAGGAATGATTAAAAGAAATATGCATAGGGGAATAATTAACGTATTAAATGTTTGTCAACATTTTTCTACATACATAGGTTCGACGCCGACATATGAGATGAATTGACATTTATATAGTATTATTATTATTATTATCATATATACACATACCTATATCACTAACATGATGCATATATTATTGCTAACATAGATATAATATTAATAATATGAATAAGTTTTTTCATATTTGGAAATGGTGAAATGTTTATTTGTTAATTTAAATATTTGTTATGAATTTTTCTTTTTTGTTTTATTATTTTCGATATTTTTATAAAATTGAGATCTCTACATTTTCATTAACATCAATTTTTAAAACCCGAGGGCGGAAGTATTACCAACATGATTAATAACTTGAGTCGTAGAGAACTAACAGACAATGGCATACCAGAAGAAGATGAACTAGAAATCTGAGGATGCTAAGGTAAATTAGGAGAAAAGAAAAAAAGAAAGGATTCCCCCAAGATATCAGGAATAAATGAAGAAGGAAATTAACTAAATAATCATTTAACTCGAATCATGTTTGGGATGTTTGGAATAAGACTTTAAATTGCTTGAGATGATAAACATTTATGAAGGTGAAAGTGGCTACACTAATAGGATTTGATTAAGCTTTAAATACTATTTTCGTATTTATATTTTTTGGTTTTGGTTGGTTTTAGTTCTTATAGTACTTTTTAAGCTTTCATTTTGGTTCTTGTACTTTCAATTTTTTTTCCATTTTAGTCCAGTACTTTTGAAAAGCGGTTATTTTGGTTCATTCTCATTTCTTTCTATCATAATTTAGTATGTGCTTCACTCACTAAATATATTGAAATATAGCCATAAATTTGTATGGAATGGTCTTCTTTGTATATAAAATTTGTATTAAAATTTTTCAAATAGAAATCAAATTAGTCACTTAATGATAAAAGCAAAAGTTTTGAAAATATAGAGACCAAATTAAATCTTTTGAAAATACAATGACTAAAATGAATCAAACTCAAAAATACAAGCACCAAAATAGTATTATGTTCTTGATTAACTACTATCACCTCATATATTAGTAAAGGACGTACAAAAAAATTATAAATATGTATATTCGTTCTATTCTTAACTACCATTGCCCATTGAGTATGAGCCATGGTAAAAGAGTCTTAATATGTTTAAATTACTTTTTCATAAATACACTTTATGTTTGAATATAATTTAGAAACATTTCAAAATCAAAGGTTACGAGTAAATCAAAGGTTCCAATTGAGCCATGTGGACAAGGTCAATAAGAATCGAGCGAACCGGGACAAGGTTGAACGCACCAAACCTAATTCCGATCACATCGATTCAAGGACTCTGATACCCTGTGCCCAAATCGCTCAAGACGTTGTCGCACCTCCTCCTACAGTTCACAGAATGGAGGAGAATGTCGATGGTCCCCATAATCCCCAAACACGACATTCTACCCTATGTGACTACCTCTCACTATTTGAGCATCCTTCCCTTTAACATATAAAAGGTGGGTTTTCGAGTCTCAAAACACACCAAAAACAAAACTTTCTTGATTGGTGGTGAATGTGATCAGATTGATCAAAGTCATAGCACTAGAGAGAACTGTTGGAAAAGAAAATCACTAATCTCAAATTAAATTACACTCGCAATTTCGACTACCCAAAAATTCTACTTGTACAAAAGAAAGCTGAAAAAGGAATTGGGAAAGGAGCGAGGAAATAGAAACTCTTGTTACAAACTTTCTTCAAAATGGTCCCATACAAATTGGCATCGTATAATATCATCAATTAGAGTAGGAGAAGAGTGGTGGATCCAAGATGAAACAGTACACCAACAATTGCAAAGATACTGATTAGTATTCCACCAACAAGAATCCTATCAACAAAGCCCCACTCACCCGATGCCTGCTTTCTCTCAGATGCTATGCCACTACTTTCTCTCTCCTCTCTCTTGGCCACATGCCTCTTCCGTCTCCTCGGTAGCCATTCTATCACATTTTTCCGTTTTGGCTCTTCAGCCAATGAAATATTACTTGAAGAATCATCTTTATTATCCAGAGTTACTGGTGCTTTGCAGCTTTCTGGCCCACAAGCACAGGGTTCGGGTTCTGTGGAACTTGAACACTTCTCGTGGGTGTTACAGCAAGGAACTTTGTCTTGGATCGGCATCTCTTCGAGAGTAGTTGTTTTATGATGTCTGGTGCTGATGGTTTCGATCACGTCCCCAAAAACGGACCACCTTCCAACGGATGTTACCTTTACCATGGCTGAAGTTCCCAGCATGGTTTCTGGGGCAATTACGAGCACCTGTATGTATCCCTTGGTGTGGCCAACCTGGGGAAGCAAATAAACCGGGTTAATTGAAAGATAGAGCAGTTCTTTGAAACATTAGAATCACAGAGTACAGAAACAGCAGTTTTATGAGATATGGATCACAGAATGAAGCTCCCTCTTCCATTCCCGTTGCAACTAAAATGCATGTGGGAATTGATTAAGAAAAAGTTTAATAACAATGGTTCCATTTTTCAAAGAGGAACGAAAAACAGAAAGGAGAGGATATAGGGGGATTATTGCAAAAAGAATTTCATAAGATAGGCCCATGACACCTATTTTGTAATTTTCAGCCCTGTTCAGTCCTTCAAAAGCTAATGTGCACATAAGAACCTTCACCTTTCGGTCCCTTTCCTTTCCAAATTGCTTCAACTAGATTCTGTTTCAAAGTTTCCTTCATAGCAGCCAACTTACACAATAATAGACGGAAAACTTATAGAAGAATGGAGAAGCCAAACTTCTGAGCCTGCATTCCTAGTCACCAATAGGACAAGGAAAACAAACAAATCCTAGGCCTAAATGGAAGAATAGTTGGATAGTTCTCTAACAGTCTGAGAATAGTTATACTATCATGCTGTTTAGCAAATTGGAGAAGTTGTCTAAGAGTGTAGAGCATACTCACTACTCAGGACAGGCACCTCATAGCCAAGACCTAAGGTTATGTATGGTCCAATCTAATATAACTAGTATAATTTATATAAATATATGAAAGAATGAATAAAATTTAACTCACTCACAAACAAGCCAATTATAAGCAATATCTTATAAGTAGACATGTTTGAAGAAAATGCCTTGTGTTGTAGAACCCTTAGAATTAATTAAGAGTCTAAGACCATACAGCCTAGTTCTTATATGTTATATAAACAGCCATGCAAGAAGTCCTCTAGTGTCTTGAAATCCTAATTTTGGTTAGGTTATCTAATTATAATTCACTTCAAGGCCAAAAGATGGTTACAGTTGAGCTGGGGCTTTTTCCTCCGTCCAAACACAATTCCTGTAACTTAAGTGGAACCAGTGTTTTCGAGGCGCACTCGGGCGCTCGCCTCAGGCAAGAGGCGAGGCGTTTTCGCCCAGGTGCGCCTCGCAAGGTGCCCAATTGGGCGCTCGCCTTTGGGCGACTTGGTGCGCCAGTCGTCTGAGGC